TCTCTCTCTCAAATAAATAAATAAATAAATCTTAAAAAAAAAAGGAAAACAGTATAGTCATAGTAATTTAAAAATATATTTAAAAAAATATATATATATATAATTAACCTGATTTACCCATCATTTTACTTAAACAACTATCAAAAAGGCCAATTTTGTTTTACCAGCATCTTCCTGTTTTATACTGGATTATTTTAAAGTAAATCTCAGACATCATCTCATTTCATCTATAAATATGTATATTAACTAAAAAACATAACCACGATATCATATATTATCCCATCTAAAAAATTAACAGTAACTCCTTGACATAAAATATCAAGGCAGCATTCACACTTCACCAAGGGTCTGTTTATTTTATGAGTTTTGTTTTTTTGTCATTTGTTGTTTGATTTCAGATCCAAATGAGGGCCATACACCGCAGCGGGTTGAGAGGTCTCCTAAAGTCTCTGTTGATCTATAGGTTCTCCCTGAATTGCTTTTTTGCCTTACAATTTGCAGACTGAGCCATTGGGGTAGTTTAACGTGTTTCTTTGTCCCTCTATTTTTTTGTAAATTGGCAGTTAGATTTAGAGGCTTGATACGATGTTGTTATTTGGGATTTTTTTTTTTTTTGCAAGAGTACTTCATAGGTGGTGTTACAAGCTTCTGGTTGTGTCTTTCTTGTAGCTGTGTTGGCAGCCACTGATGATGACGGCCCTAATCTATTAGGTATCACAAAATGGTGATATTTTATCACTCCTTCTTTGTTTATTCATCAGAACACTTCTATAATGAGAAACGTTTCCTCATCCACTATATGATTACCCTGAGGTATAGCAAAGGAAGAATAATACCCTACAAAAGTGACCAGAGAAGTTTTTGTTTGGTTTTGGTTTTAGTATCATTAGTAATTCATGGACTTAAGCACACTTGTTTTTTTTAATCCATTGCAGTTATTATTCTTATTAATTTTTCAAGTTGTTCCATTTTGCCCATTGGGAGCCTCTTCAAATTGACTTCTGAGTCTTTCTGATAGCATCCCAATAGTTGCTACAGAGCTAAAACAAAGGACTGGATGGTCAAATCAGCAGCAAGCTTTCCTAATAAGGCAATCAAGAGCCTCAGATGAAGCAGAGAGACACCTGAGACCTCAAGCCTTGTCCTCCAGGTCTTTCTTTCCCACATCAATAATAACGTGGAATAGATGGGAGTCTCTAAGTAAGATTCACAGGATTCCTCACCCAGGGAGTAAATTCACATTATGAAATATTCCATTTTATACTGCAGAGAGTTAGAAAACGTTTCTGGGACATTCTGTAGGAAATCATGTCTCCTGGCTTCTGGGTGTTACTAGTATAAGCAACTCTTTAGCTGAGGACACAGATACCATCTCTTCTTCCTGGCAATTTGTCTGTTTCCTTGAAGGTGCAATTGACAAGGGGATAAGACTCAATCACCTGCCTTCTTTTCTATTCCCCAAGCATATTTATTCCTCCATTAAAGAGAGTGCATGGATCACAGGCCAACTGCTTTAATGTCTTCCTCCCAGCTGCCTTCCTGGCTTACCGGGATGACTAGGTACCCCATGCTCACTTACACACCCCTTGCCCCAGACCTTAAAGCAACCATTTCTCCAATGACTCCTTCTTTTTAGTGGTAAGAGGATTTACAGATCACAATCTGGGGGCTAGATGAAAATAATTCCTTGATGAACATTTTTTACACAATGTTGCAATCTTTGACCATCTCCTTAGAATAATTTCCCTAAAAGTGAATTGATCTATCAAAGAGTCGACAATTTAACCTTTGCTTCATGGGCCAACAATGGCATGTACCAATTTATTCCCTGTCTGGCAGGGATAACTATTCTTGGGGATACCCATTTTCCCAACAACCTCTCCAACGCTGGGTGTTATTTTAATCTTTCCAAATAACAGATGAAAATGATCATACTAGGGTTGACTTTTTTCTTTTTGGCATTTGTTG